GAATTTTGTGAGATGAAGAAGCACAAGATATGCAGAGTCCCATTAGAAATGGAAAATGGGGGTCAATTTTCCACTTATCAAATCTTCCTATGAATATAAAGGGAACAACATTTTAGCAGAATGATTATCTATTGAATCTAATTAATTAGTTAAAATTAATTAATTGAGTATATTTTAGTGGTTTGCGTGTACCTGTTTATTTTATGTGCTAACCCAATATTCATATACAAGAAAGGGAACTTGTATTCTCTCCGGATCTTACTATTTGTAGTCTAAGGATGAAAAAATGGGAGATTGGAGCCCTTAATTTGTGCAGGGTAGACCAATAAAATGAGTTAATGAGACTGTTGGATTCAATTTAATGGTCCGAATTGCCTTATCTTTAGAATTTGGACGATAAAATCCGGAGAGGATCTATGTCCCAACTTAAGTTGAAAAGACTTTAAACTTGCTATAAACAAATTAGGGTTAGTAATTTAGTATATGTTAGTCAATTACTTTCACATGCAAACATTGTAAAATGCTAACCAACTTGGACTGCCACTCATAATGGCTTTAACTTTGATTTTGGTCTAAGATAATTGATTAGACAAGCTTATGACTCGAGTGGTTAAGAGTATTTTTATTTCTATGTTTGAGGTTTTGTATTCGATTTCTACATTCTCTAACAAACAATTTGACATGTGAACATAAACTTCTTCGTTTATTCGCGTAGTAAATTATTTATACATATATGTCAAATTGTGAGTTACAAATACACACGATAATAATTTAATTGTGAAGAGTCAAATGGTTGAACAAGAATAAGTGACCCGCAAGGCACAACCTGCAAATTTGTTTAAGTGTTAACCTTGTTAACCCCACAATCACTAGTGAAAGGAATGAGTTGACATGAACAACTTGATACGTTGATAAGCACTTTACAGAGAAGAGAGATTGGCAATTGCAATTAAAAATAGACCAATAATTTGTGCATAGAAAATAAGATCAAAACCGGTGATCAAGTTTTAAAAAGAATATAATAATCAATTAAATAGATATAAAACTCCATCATTTCAATAATTAAAAGTAATATAATCAAGCATGCACACTTCAAAACACGTCATGCCGGCAGATTTTTAAACCAAGACGGATTTCTCTATTCAAGTTTTTCATGACCGAAAAGAATATCATATGAATCCGACCTTACAATCTAAAAACGGACACTTTTATTCAAACTTGTTTTGAGTCAAAGAGAATATCATATGAATCTAAAATCGTATAATATAAATCTGACCTTACAATCTAAGAACGGACATCTTACTCATATTTGTTTAGAATCGAAGAGAATATCATATGTGACACATCCTGATCTGAAATGTCCACTTAGACTCCGAATCGAGCTGTGCTGACCGACACTTGGAAGGTGACGAAGCCATAAAGTGTAGTGATGTGAAAAATGTGTATTAATTTAAACCTACAAATGCCTAAATATAAGAGTGTGCTAGTGAGCGGGAATGAACTCATTTCACATGTGATATCATAGCATAAGTAAAGTACAGTAAAATAGGATGAGAATTATTCCATCGAAGGTAACCACTTATACCAAGATTTGTATAGAATCATCATCGATACGAAAACTCTGCTACTAGAACCTGGAAGGGCGAAAAATAAGGATGAGTAAGCCTGAAAATAAAGCGTTGTAAAAACCTTTTCGAAAACATAATAACCCCTTGCCGTAAAACAAGTATAGTTTTGAAAATATACATACTACTTATAGTAAGAAAGTACTTACCATAGCCTGTAATATCTCAAGAATTCAATACGGCACAATATTTCATAGTTTCGTAAAATCTCCTCCGTAACTCCAAATTCGATTCCGCTTGCGCCTATGCGTTCGTAGTGACAAGCACTATAATGATACGCTAAAAGAATGTTTCATACATCTCACAATACGCTGGTCAACAAAAGTCAACATCCTCGCCTCTAAGGGCATTTTCGTCAATTTTCCCTTTTAAAATTAATAAAATCGTAAAATTAGGGACGGGTTGTCACAATATGAATCTGACTATATAATTTAAGAATTCATTGAATTATTAAAACTAATTATAGAGATGTCAAAGATAAAATGAGTGAATAGGACATACCTCTAAAGTTGACTTCTACTTAAAATAATTATATGGATAATGAATTTTGGGTTTGCATGATGCTATTCAATTAGCTAACTAATATATTGACTTTTGACCAATTTATTTTAATTTTGTATTTTTGGGATTAATATCGAAGGGAAAAACCTTTAACCCAACTCCAAGGGGCAAGCAAGCTTTTCTCTTTGCCAGAAGCTTCAGTTTCAAAGCCTATCGAGGTTTTCTCCTTTTCAATCTAGTTGCATTATTAAACCATGAAGAGGGCTTATTTTTGTTTTCTTTTTTCTTTTTCCTTTTTAATTCCATATTTTATTTGTTCAGAGCAAGGAGGTTCGAACACGTGTCCCGTGGTGAGAGTAGCAAAGTGGCAGCTGAGTTGTATTACAAGAATTTAGTTCTGTATGGCAAACATTAGCTTACAACATCCTCATTTTCGGAATGTTTAATTTTTTATGTAGTTTTTGTACGCTTTAGTTTTGTCGTATTGTTGAGGAGTCGAGAGGCCTATTTATAGGAGGAGTCGAGAGGCCTATTTATAGGCGATTAGGCCTTGTTTGGCAGCTCGGACTATACTGACTATTTCTGTCGGATAAGATAAATAGCCACCGGATAGTACTGACTAAATTAGTCGAGCGTTTGGTGCAGTATCGGATTAATGACCGTATTATTTATACTGTGTTTGGTATTATACCGGATAAGATGAATAAAACTTAAAATTGGTATTATAGCAGATAAGAGGAATAAAACTTAAAAAAAAAGTGAAATCATTTTTTTTTTTTTCGTAGATCTCTCCGCACCCATCAAACTCCCTCCCTCTCTCTTCCTTATTCTTCCCCGATTGCAGAAGCATCCCAAATAATTCTTCCCCGCTTCTCTCCGCGGCACCCCCAAACTCCCTCCCTCTCTCTCCCTTATTCTTCTTCCCCGGCGACGACAACTCTATTTTGTCGCTTCGACTCCGTATTCCTCTGCGTCAACTGCGACTCTCATCACCCTGCGTCTAGCCTCTGCGAGGTCTGCGAGCAAGCTCCAGGATCGAGAGATCGAGGTGAGCAGGGAGGATGGTGAGGCTGCTCTCGAACCTAAAGGCTATGGAGAATCCGGATCTGAACTCAGGTCGTAGAAATGGATCCATATCTGGATCTAGACTACCAGCATGTGGATCCGATGCTTGAAGAAGTTCAAGAGCAGGACATCTGCAGCACGGACGCAGTCGGTTTGGTGTGGTGGTCGTGAAGATGGAGGGGATATCGCCCCGACTAATTATCCCGAGCTTTTGTGGTGTTTTAATAGTACGGTGTCAACCGTATAAAATTTGATAGACCGGATAATTAAGCGGGTGCTTATTTAGTACGATAGTGCACCAAACAACTGCTCCCGTATTATTTATCCTATCCGATGCTTTATACAGCGTGCCAAACGAGGCCTTAGAGTTCATCTCTTGAGTGCTTTGCCAGCTGCCTGAAGTGTTAGGGCAGTTGGAGTCAGAAGCATGGCTCAGAGCAGTTTGCAACAAGTGCAGAAGGGTCAGAGTGCCACGGTCAATCAATGCCCCCTTCCCTCGAATGCTGCATTGGAGCAAGTTCTTCCACTGCCGAGTCCAGTTCAGGTAGCCATTCGTTCATGCTTCGTCCGGAGGGTTCATGATAGCTGGTTGACAAGCAGCTGCGAATTTATGTATACTAGGATGTCGGATCTAGATAGATTCAAAGCCTGACTACAGAATAAATCTAAGAATCCGAAGATGACCGCTTTCCTTGTACTCGACCTCGTTGTTTTAGGCCTTCAAGACCTGTTTACTCAGAGTTCGGGGCGGAGATCGTTCGTTAACAGCTCGTCAAATGAAGTTGGAATTTGGCAGTTGGGATCTGACTGGTGACTTATGGGATCTCAATGGAGAGTGGTTAGGTGTAACACGGAGAGCCTACGTATATGCACTCCGATCAGATAGCCTACTTAAGACTCATTTCAGTAACCACCCTATGCTGTCAGGTTGCTATGGTGCAGCCGAATCTCCAACTTTATATTTACACTGTAAAGTTGGAGATTCGGCTAAAGTCATACAATGAGCTTATCATAATAATTTGATATCTATCTCGCTATTCATAAAATCAAATCTAATACCTCACACTTATAAATAACAACAACAACAACAAAGCCTTTTCCCACTAAGTGGGGTCGGCTATATGAATCCTAGAACGTCATTGCGCTCGGTTTTGTGTCATGTCCTCCGTTAGATCCAAGTACTCAAATCTTTTCTTAGGATCTCTTCCAAAGTTTTCCTAGGTCTTCCTCTACCCCTTCGGCCCTGAACCTCTGTCCCGTAGTCACATTTTCGAACCGAAGCGTTAGTAGGCATTCTTTGCACATGTCCAAACCACCGGAACCGATTTTCTCTCATATTTCCTTCAATTTCGGCTACTCCTACTTTACCTCGGATATCCTCATTCCCAATCTTATCCTTTCTCGTGTGCCCACACATCCCACGAAGCATCCTCATCTCCGCTACACCCATTTTGTGTACGTGTTGATGCTTCACTGCCCAACATTCTGTGCCATACAACATCGCTGGCCTTATTGCCGTCCTATAAAATTTTCCCTTGAGCTTCAGTGGCCTACGACGGTCACACAACACGCCGGATGCACTCTTACACTTCATCCATTCAGCTTGTATTCTATGGTTGAGATCTCCATCTAATAAATAAAAAAATACTACTAGATCGTTAGTACTAAATGACACTGTTGAAGTCTTTTAATGAATATTGCTGATTTGATAACAAAAAATAACTTCCAATCAGGTTATTTATGTGAGAAATTGAATCGTAACAAGGCTTATCAATATTTAATAGAAAACATTATAGTTAAGATGAACACTGAGATTCATAACTCATAATCCATTCAAAATACCATGATAAAATATTTCACAATTTGTTCATACAGATGCAATTAAGATCAAACCAACTACACTAAAACTACATACATACGGGACTTAAAGATCGGAAGCAACACGACCACTGTAGAACTAATTTCTAATGATCGGATTTGCCCCCGGATACAGTTACACTATCTTCACCGTTCACTGTGTCTGCTGCCAGCAACCGTTTTGTGAGAGCCTTAGGTATGTCCAGGTGGTCTTGCGGGCATCGCTGCTGAGGGTGCGATAGCAGCACACACATGTGACGGAAGAGGACTCGTGTTAATCCCTGTCCACTCTCTAAGATGTATCCCTCGAATTCGCTAACATGTTCCAGGGAATCCACAAGTGCATCGTAGACCTCCTGGGGGCAGTTGTCAGGTCCAGGCTTGTCATGAAGGTAAACAACATCCAGGGTGAAGAGTTTCTGGTTTACCGGCCAATTATTTTGCGGTCGTACGGACGATCTACAGTAGATCAGAACCTAAGGGCAAGCATGTCAGGCTTTAGCAATCAACAAATAAAATTTCAGTGTCCGGTAAGGGATAGGATAATCAGTCTCATTTGGTAAGTAACAAATTTGCATGACTGCATTAGCATATAGGTATAGACGAACACATGAAAAAGCAGGTAAAAATGAAGCGAAGTGCTACTTACCACCCTCAAAATTCTGTTTTGAGCGCGAGATTTCTTTGCTTCATGAGATGCTATTCGAAATAGACCAGTAAGATCTGCATTACCAGAAGAAGGAATGGCTGAGAGTATCCGAAGTGCAGCATGAGCAGACTCAACTTCACTGCTAAACTCTCTTCGAAGCTTCATGCAGAAACAAAAGGTTCCAAATCAATTACAGAAACCTAAAGCAAACCAACAGACACAAGGGGCAAATCCAGTGTGTGCTTACATTGCATAGATAATTTAGGAAATTTGGTTTACTTTGGCCTAAAGCTATATGCAAACATAGTTTCTCATCAATTCCTAATATTGAAAACGTTTTTTTGATCGAAAACAAATTATCCCCAAGTATTTATCACTAAATTTGGAATGATGTGCAACAAACATGAGGCAGATGGACTTCTTTTTCCGAGACTTATGTGCTCGTATCCAAAAATCTGATTCCAACAGAACTGATGATAAGGCTTTTCAACGCCGATTTCCTAGCCCTATGCATTGAAAACATAAGATTACAACAAGGTTTCTGAGTGATTCTTGTTAAAAGTTAGTGAAGGAATTGATTTCTCACCCACATTCAGTAAAAATGACCAAATTCTGTACGATGGGTTGCTTCAAAATTATGATTGAAAACTAATTTTCCTTCATTCATCCAGCAACCAAAATACAAGCCGCGAAAATTTCTTACATTTTCTCAGCCGCCAAGCAAACTATAAACGATAACATAATAGATAAATTCAATCTACCCATAAAGCTATATATCACAGAAAGACTCCAAACAATCACCCAACGCAACAATCATGGTTTCCAGAAGCTTAATTACTCAAAAATACACAAAACCCAGAAAACCCTTTTTCCCCTGATCGCACATTTTCTCGGAAACCAAACAGAAACCAAGCAAAAGAGGACGGAAAAAACAGAGAAAACCTACCCAAGACGCGGCCTTTCCGAGAGTGGCGAAAGCAAATCGGTGTTCCGGATTGATGGTAAGCTTGGCGTTGATGAAGAGAAGTATGGCTTGCTTGATCGAGTCCAATCGGGTTAAGGGTCGCCCGTTCGGGCCCATCGCAGCCTTCATCTCCACCATCGACTCTGGGTCAACGTCTATGCAGAACAGTATGTCCTCGTTGCTCAGCCTTTCCGGCCGCAGCGTGTATCTGCCCGCACCCGATCCGCCCCCCTCTACTATTCCCTCCATCTCTCTCGGACCTCGGTGCGCCTGAACTTTCCAAACGAAAGCAAAGGAGAAAGCTTTGCGAAAACACTGGGCATTTTCGGAATTCCATTAAAATTGGAATAATCACACTTTGCAGTTTGCACCTTTTAGTTTTGAACCGTTACAATTTTGGTTACTATCTTTACAAAACTAACACTTTGCAACCCTTAATTTACGATCTTTATGCGATTGATCCATCTGATAGTCTAACCGTCAAGTTAATTTTTATTCTTTTTGATGTAGCATTTCATTTAGCCATCTCTTGCCACATTGAGAAGGAGTCGTCAATGACAAACCATAAATTACATTGAATTATTTCGAAAAAGAATGGGCAAGGAAAGCAAGCTGTTAGACCACGTCGAGTTAAGGGAAGCAGCGTGGGAGGACAATTTGGTTTTCGTCTTAGCAAAGTAGGCATATCAAGTTCAGTTTTTAATTTTCGCTTGTCAAATAGAATGAATAGAGAACGATCAAATGACATAAATTAATACGGGAGTGTAGAAAGTAAAAAAAGGTGTGAGAAATAGCATCAGAAATTAACATGTTGGTACAATCTGAACCGTCTAATGAGTTTTAATGGCTGAGATTAAAAACCTTGCATAATCATGCACCCAAAAAAACATGCAGAGAATCCTCATCCGAAACTAACAACGCACAACCGGAGTTTATAGGCATTTCCGGCCGGGTTGAATCAGAATTACAATTCCACTTCAAAAAATTTCTAACCAGAAAATCGTAATTTTGGAATTCAAATTTTTTTCTGAATTTTCAGATACATTTCATTTCCGTTCTTGATTTCGGAATTTCAGACTTCAAATTTGAATCGTCCAAATTTTGGATTGGAGTTGGTCGGAATCCGAATACATGACAATAACAGTGAAAAGTTTGGGACAATTCCTAATCAAAGATCAATCAAGACTTTTCTCTACAGGTAAAATTGTACACCTTGACGAATCCAGCTTTGCATAGAATCACAACTTCTACACGAAGTTCTACTCGAACCAACCCATCTACGGATACATCTACCACAACAGTTTCAATCAGTCTCAATATGGAACAAGTAGAATTTGAAGATGTTAGTCACCTCGGAATTGCCATGGAGAGGAGGAGAGCAATCGACCCTTCACTGATGTGCATCGCTGTGTACCTCTTCCGTTCATTCCACGCTCAGTTAAGTTAATGGGACAATGTTGAAAAAATCGGCAAGTCAAATATGTCCAACTTGCTAGTGCTGATCTTCAATTTTCAGCGCCACTAGTTCACTCTCTTGCTCTTGGTTCCTAAACTTTGAACTGTTGGGGAACCATCTTTTAAGCCTGTCTGGCCAAAACCTAATGGTTTCCAAACACAACCCATTTAGTTAAGAATACTGCATCTTAAACCCGATATTAAAAACTCTACAACAGTGATCACGGTAAAATCCGATCTTTAACTATTAAGAGGTTGATAATTGGAAAAAACACAAAGCAACTGTGACTTACAAATCCAATCTTTCATATATTGCCCGTCGCACTGAGGAGTTCAAGCCATAAGCTATTGAATTGAACAAGCCCTATAAGTATGAAAGTAATAGATGTCTTATCAGGATGATAAAAAAAAAAACTAGTAAAGTAGCCGTCAATTATACATGAACAATGTTCTTCGAAACACGAAATGCCCAATTTGCCATACAAAATTAGTAAGTTACCATGAGTGCAGCTGTCCCAACATCAAGAACTGAGAGCCAAAATATTTTATGACTTGGTTCAATAAAGTCATGAATGCGGTTGATTGTGCCAAAAGCCCATGATCCTATCAGGATGAGCGGATAGTACCCCCACCGGTTCAAAGCCTGTTGAATGAAAGCAATGGAAAACAATTAAGATGAACCGCTATTGGATGTACATTTAAATGATCTAACATACACGAAACATAAGACTACAAAAAAGGGATAAATAAATATAGATTTTTACGGATTTCTATGCCTCTATATATGGGAACACAGTCTGAGTCTGACCCTAGGAAATCAGTTGCATCACAATATACCTTCATGTCTGCTCTAGCATCTGATTGGTAAGCCCGGTCTGACATGCCAGCTGCCATCTATAATTTCCAAACCAGAACTACGATCTCAACAAGTGTAAAAGCAAAAGGAAATTATTTTTTTGAAAAAAAAGAAAAAGAAATGATACCGGGAATACATACACGTCTTGCATTCTTCAGCATGCTTATCACTTGAAAGTATGTAAAACCATTGTAAAGAATTGCACCCCAGAGTGGCATATAAAATGTTATGAGGTGAAGTGCCTGTAAAAATGGGTGGGAAAATTAGAGTGCAGTAAAGAAAACTTAAATACATCAGGCGGCTATAGTCAGAAATCCAAATGGGGGAATTGCACAACAATGACGAGGTAGTTTTAATACAAACGATGCTTACACTTGCAAGGTATTACATAAATGAATTATTAGTTTTGTTATCGTATGTAAGGTTGTAAAGATACAGGTTACTATAGAAATTAGAATCTATAAGTAGTACAAATATCGAGAATTGATGAAATGCAACTATTAAGATGCAAAGAACCACACATAAAAACATTAATAAATCTTCATGATCAATTTTGGTCTAAGTACAGATACTGTTGTTAATGCAGTTACTACCACGAGTGGGGCACAGATTTTACCCCATTATCATCGGTTATTACATGTTTAATCCAAAGTTATGGTATCTGACCAACAAATCAATCAATACATTATTGATGACAGCAGGTTTGACATTAAAAATATTCTCCCAGACATCATAAAACTCCTCACTTCCCCTCTATCTTTTTATACACGCACGTTGCACTACAGTAATAACCAAACAACCAAAAACGAGGTTCAAGGAGTTGTTGTAATTTGCAGAAGAATTGTAGATCCTACAGTCTGGAAAACTAAAACATTTCAACCAATAAGTAGTATGTTTTACCTTTCCACTACGCCCTGATTGTGACCAACACCATGTACCCAGGTGGCTGTGGTTATTACCAATAGAGCGCACAACCGTCACAACTAATGAAGTCCCTGTGAAGAGGAAAAAAAGAAGCAACTGAACTCTAATGCGCTTCACAAATTAAATATAACTAATAGCATGATGCATTACGAAGATAGAAATCCAAAAACGAAATCAGAATCAATCATTCAGAAAAAAAAAAGCTAACTCTGCATCACTGAAAGTAAAATGAGAGATCTTTCATTAACAGATAACAAAGTCATACCCCAAACATACAAATGAAACATTGCCTCCATATCTTCAACATCAGTTTTGTGTCTAACAACCGTACGGTGGAGTGTAAAAGCAATCGTGGTAGTCCATAAGAAAGACGCTACACAGAAGAATGAGTGCTATAGCCGTGCGAGTAACAGAAAAATCCTCTCGATGGATCCCTGCGCACGAAGGCAACTTACTTTCTAATCACTTTGAACCCGAATCAGATAAAAACTGTTACATTATCTAAATGCACTTGTCTGGGAGAGAAAATTGAGCTTACCCAACCATGCTGAAGAAGCTACAAAGCATATCCTGCATTCCAAAATAGCAATAACATTAAAGTTGGTTTTTCTTTTCTGCTTCTATTTTACTCAAAATTTAAGTTAAAAACTGGAGAACAACAAAGCCCTAAACCCTAAATTTTCCGAAAATTTATCCCGAATCCTTCAGGCTCAAGTCATCAAGGTAAATCCACTATATAAAGCTAAGAGCTTCACATTTTCTAGCGATTCTATATCAAATTAAATGCTAATTTCTATATATTTTGTTTCAATTTTCGAGTTTTTACAAGTTTCCAGATACAGAACACACCACGTCACCGGCAATTAGATTTAACAACGCAATCAATTCCTATTATTTTCAGCAAATTCTAGAGAGAGAGAGAGAAAGAAGTCGTACGGAGAGCGCGAGGTAGAAGACGAGCTTGAAGGAGAACTTGCGGAGCTCTTTGAAGAGGACGTAGCAGAGGACGATGAACCCCGACCCAACGAACGATAGGCTCGCCGCTCCGGCGTTTACTGCCATCAAGACGTGGCGATCGTACGCCGTCAGACCTCCGGCGACTTGCCCCGTCGTCGCCATTTTCTTCACCCACTCTCTTCCGATCACGCCAATACAGTCTCGAATACTGGCCCTCCCTCAGTCTCTGAATTTGTCGGTACAGAAACTTCAAAACGCTCCGTTTCGTGTTTTGACGGCAGTGGTCGCTTTATGGTTCGGCGTGCGTTCGAATCTTACAGGCGAAGGAGTTTGTGTTGTTTACATGTTTAATTACAATTTTAGACTGCTGTCGATTTGTATGCAATATGATTCATGTGGGCAAATGTGTCAATTTGAATTTTGTTGTGACCATTTTGGGCTGCTTTCATAAATTAAACTATATGCATATGAATTTGATCATTTATTTATTTTTATTGAAAAAGAGGATTAGTTGGTGGCTTTACCACGACAATCTAGTTTTTTAGGCACCGAAAAGACTCAGAGGCATTTCAGCCTCTTTCTCGTCATCATCGTGTGATTCACCAGTGCCAAGATCGAACTTGTCATGTGAAATACGAGCGTGAAATTCGTCCTTAACCACTAGCGGATATTTATTTGACTGAATAGTACAATGTAATTTAGTTTATTTATCAAGTCATTATCATAAGCTATTGCAACTTTTAGTTTAATGAGATTATGAGAATATGCACAAACTTGTTTTGTATTTTTGGCGATTGTATTGTGTTTATGCTTGTGGTCTATTTAAGAGTGGTTTTAAAATGATTAAAAGTTTTTTTATAAAACAAAAATGTTTATGTTTAATAAAAAAGGTTAAAGGTGGAAAGCACTTTTCAATACTTTTAAGATGAGCATCGACGTGCTTGTACCGCAAGCTCTTCCAAAAAAGCATGGTGTGGGTAAAAAGCTTCATGCATAACCACTTCTAATGACTTTTGAGATTTGCTTTCAGGAAGTTAAGAACTTGTTTCGATAATTTTGAAATGACTAAAATCACTTTTATGAAAAATGCTTTAGATTTTAATTAAAATGTTTCATACAAGAAGTAATAGTTATGTGCATGAATCACTTTTGAATTTGATCATTTATTTAAAACTGAAATGTTTATGATTTGTTTAACAAAAAAAAGTTAAAGATGGAAAGCACTTTTGAATACTTTTTAGAGAAGCATCCATGTGCTTTTACCACAAACGCTTCTAACAAAAGCATGGTCCGTGTGGGTAAAAGGCTCCATGCATAACCACTTCTAATAACCTTATTTGAGATTGCTTTCGGAAAGACTAAAAACACTTTCGAATTGCTTTTGACAGAAATCTAAAAGCACTTATATTTCTGAAAAAAAATTGCCCATTAGATACTTCTCCATGAAAAACATTTTGTTGTATCCAAAATCGCCTATTGAATTTTTAATAAACACTTTTAGTGAGTTCTTTTAAAATGATTATGAACAGAAATGTTTTCTACTAAAAAAAAGCATTTAAACGAGTCCAAAATTTCACCATTTTAGACTTCTGAAAGGGAATATATAACCCATCATGTGAAACTTTTTTCAAAGAAGTGTCATATGCTTTTATCTCACGTCAAGTGGTGGTAGTTAACCAGTTCTTCAATTTAGTCCTCAAAGTATATTCTCTCCTGAAAGAAACCCCTAATAATTTCTAACTAATTTTTTCACTGTTAACTTAATTATACACAAAAGGAACTGTAGACATCGAAATTTCGGTAAATAAATGTTGACCGACAAATCAAAGTTTCAACGCTCATGTATTACATAAATTTTACACGTAGCGTGTGACTCAACGAAAATTGAAATGAGTTGGAAAAGCCATCAAATAGGACACGTGTCAACACCTGGCAGAAACGACTTATTTCATCTGGAATATTATATTCAAAATTAGGCCTTGGAAATTTCTATAAATACAAGCCCATTTCATTCATTTGGGAAGAACCAAAATCATTAGGCAAAACTCTTGAAGCTCTAAAGCTCTGAAACTCCAAAGCTCTCAAGCATCCAGGTTCCCGAAGAATCAAGAAAGCGTTATTCGTTCATCGTTCATCCTAAGATCAAGCCCCAACGGCCCTTTGGATCAACAATCATCCACCAATTCAAGATCAAACCCCGACGGCCCTTGAAGAAAGTGTTTTTCGTTCTTCGTTCATCGTTCATCCAAGATCAAGCCCCAACGGCCCTTTGGATCAACAATCATCCACCAATTCAAGATCAAGCCCCGACAGCCCTTGAAGAAAGTGTTCTTCGTTCATCGTTCATCCAAGATCAAACCCCAACGGCCCTTTGGATCAACAATCGTCCACCAATTCAAGATCAAGCCCCGACGGCCCTTGAAGAAAGTGTTTTTCGTTCTTCGTTCATCGCTCTTTCAAGATCAAGCCCCGACGGCCCTTGAAGAAAGCACCATCGTTCATCATCGTTCATCCGTTCATCCAAGATCAAGCCCCAACGGCCCTTTGGATCAACAAACGTCGACAAATCCACACACATCCAACCGTTCTTCAAGATTAAGCCCAAAAGCCCTTGAAGATCTGTTCATCACTGTTTCTTCAAGATCAAGCCTAAAAGCACTTGAAGATCTGTTCATCACCGTTACTCAAGATCAAGCCCCAACGGCTCCTTGAAGAAACTTCCAACAGTTCATCCAGGATCAAGCCTCAACGGCCCTTGGATCAATCACACATCCACAAATACACACCTTACGGAGATCAAATCAGAGGATCAAATTAGAGAGAGATTGTAACCCAAAATCATCAAATACAAATATTTGTTTGTGCGCGTTGTTCTTGTCTCTTTCGTTTCAGAAATTTTCCGTGTTCACAGGAACATCTAGAAAAAGACATTCTCATTTAATTTATAATTTTATTATGGTGAATATTAAAAAAATATTGAAGTTAGGCTCCTCTTTGGGAAGGATAGTTTTCAAGGTAGCCAGGGACTGGATTCTCTCTGTATTCCTTCCATCTGGATCTTTCGAATCTTTTAATTTTGGAGCTGAAGAGAGAGATGGGGAAGAAGATGAACAAGAGAAGGTGAACAAGGAAGAAGATAAACAGGAGAAGGTGAAGATGGAAGAAGATGAATGAGAGAAAATGAAGGTAAAGGTGGACAAAGAATTAAATCCTGACAATTCGATTTTCAGTTGAACGGACATGATTAAAAGATCCGAATGAAATGAATCCGGAGAGAGGATACTATTCCCTAGCGAGGAATCGGTGGGGCAGTTGTGGAAATTCCTGAGATTACTGTGAGGACGTAATCAGAAAAGGAGGGGTCTGCGTTCTTCTCTTGTAAAATATTTTGTTTGGAACTTGGGGAATCTGCCTTGATTAAGATATATGTGATTAGGTATTGGTCTATTCTCAAGTGTTTCCTTTTTTTTAATCCTGGATCATTAGTCGACATGATATCATTATTTTAGTTTGCGAACAAAAATGACATTTCTTCCTATAGTGAATCACAGTTTGACACGTGTGCATAAACTTTTCTCGCAGTTTTAGCGAGTGATTACAGTGTTTATTTATGTCAGTTTGTGATTTGTAGGTCATGAAGAATTACACGAAAAAAGCTAAGCAATATTTATTTTGATAGGAGTGCATAAACTTTTTATTTTATGTTTTTAATGAATCATTTTAGTACACGTAGATTAATAATTTGTAAGTCATTAAGAATGACTCATTATAGATAAGAAGTCAAAATGTTCGTTTGACACGATTATATAAACTTTAATTTTTGTACTTTAAAGAGTCGCTTTAGTGTACATTTCAACTTGTAAGTTGCAGGTCAGGAAAAAATGTAGTTCCTTACCCGTAAAAACCAAACAATGTTCTTTGCAAATTACAATATTACTTTGAAAACTTGAATTCCTTTCTTTTTCTCTCAATCAATGCAATTATTATTATTTTTGTTAAATTTTTTGTCTCACTTGTTTGAGCAATTTTAAATGAGATGTCAAAGCTGCCACATAGACATGTGACAGTAAAAAATAGCAGCAAACTTTCTCCAACCAAGCCTTCAGTTTCTTACGTAGCGCAAAGCCAATTGAAAACAAAACCTTCTGCTATCAAATTCATTTAACAAATTTTTAATAAATGTGATGAACTATATAATAAATATTGTTGTGTATTCCATGCATTAGATTGATTGTCTCAATAATTGAACCGCACAAAAAGATGAAAAAAATTATAGAATCACATTATTATTTAACATATCGGGTGGGGCAAATGTCAAATTGCCAGATAAGAACATCTTCAAAGGAGATGTCAAATTTTAAATATAAAATTTAAATTTGAAGGCTTATGTGGCACTTTTTTTTTAATTGTGTTCTCCACCCGATATATTATTTAACTATTATTTATTGCATTATTTAATTTTTACAATTGTAATAAATCTTTCTAGAACAAAAAATAATGATAAAAATGGTAAAAAAAGACATTTATTAACCACTAAAAATAGATTTGGAGTTTCTGTCAAATTTGACAGCAACCACCTTTGATGTCAATCCATGTCATGTTACGTAGGAATTGGCATTTCGGTTATAAAACATTGAAGCTGCTTTTTTTGTTGTTATTTTTGATACAGACTTTTTGACTTCTCCTTTGGAGATTCTCTAAGCCATCAAATATCATTTTCATGTTTTAAATTTGACATCTCATTTGGAGATGCTGTTACAATGGTTTTGATGCTACTATTACTATCCTCATCATTTGGTGCTACATAAACAAATGGCCTAATAACTAACCCTTCATTGAAGTCCTGAAGACCCTCCAAGATCACAACCGCATCACTCATCCTAGGCCTTTGCTTTGGATTGTGGCTCAAGCAACTGTAAGCCAATGCAGCCGCCTTTCGAGCCCCTCGTGTTGAATACTGTCCCTCCATCATCTGGTCTATAATCTGGTCGAGCTTTCTGGGGTCCTTCAGGCGAGGTTTTGCCCACTCCACAAGGTTCTGTTCGCGTTTGGGACGGCTATTATCTATGCACCGTTTACCTGTCAATAGCTCTAGTAGAACAACTCCAAAACTATAGACATCACTCTTGGTCGTCAAGCAACCTTTAATCAATTAAGTACTAAACTTGATTAGTTTATGACTAATGAGAGTCTAAACAACTAATTAAGTACTAAACTTGATTGGCTTACCAGTCATGATGTATTCAGGGTCTGCATACCCCTGTGTCCCTATTCTACGTGTTGTTACATGTGTGTCTTCTCCTTCTGGACCGTCCTTTGCTAACCCGAAATCTGAA